AAGAAGAAGAAGAAGAAGAAGAAGAAGAAGAAGTACACCAGCAAGACCAATGACAATTCCCCCTTCTCTCTCCACCTTCCTCCTCCTCCTTCTCTTCACCAATCTTATTCTTCTCTCAATAATAATAATAACAATGAATGGATGAACCAGAATCAATATCCGAAGTTCCCTCTTACTAGCGACCTAACGCAGCAATGACAACAACAACAATCAGTCCACCATAGCTATGGCTTCCCTCCTTCTTCCTCCTCTCTCATACATAGGCTATGGCGGACTACTCTGAGCATCTAGGGTGCTGCGGTGATGCCCAAAGGACAGCCCAAGCAGCTATGGTGCTGCGCTGATGTCCGAAGGACCACTCAAAGCAGCTATGCCGCTGCTGACTTGGTCCGCTATGCTTGACTCTGCCTCGAGCTTCCCTGGTGCCGCACTACCCCAACTGGGGCCTTCCAGATGCAGCGCCCAACAAGGTGATGAAGATGGTGTTTACCATAGCCAGGTAAGTGCCCCGCCACTCTCCTTCCATGCCCCCTTCTTCCTCCTCTCTAAGCTGGACTGCTCGCCATATCCAGGCTGAGCTCCAGCGGCCCTTCACCTCCAAGCAGCGCTGCACCAGACCAGGCTGAGCTCCCAGTAACCTACCGCTACTTGGCCTCTAAAAATGCCAACTTTTTGTCTTCTTCTGCTCGGCCTCCAGTACCCGACACTTCTACCACTACTTCATTGGTACCGGCCTACCTGCTACTTGAGTGTTTTTCTCCTCTGCTCTAAGTGYCGCGGGCCTACCCCCGCTACTCGAGTGTTTTCCCCCTGCAACCCTTCACAGTCACGGCCACGGGTAAGTACCGGCCCTGCGGGGCCTTGCAACCAACCAGTACCCTTGCGGGTCACACACACACTCAACCGWCAAGCACTCAGACAGGCATGCAAACCAGCAGGCACGCACACACACACAGACATGGAAATCACAGCAGAGTGTGGGAATTTCAACAAGGCATTCATTCCAGCGGCAAATCCCAGAAGTCAGCAGTGTTCTCAGTCTGTGTTTTTGGCGGGTCATTACATTACCCCCCTCTCAAGAGCGAGGTCCCTTCGAGCGAGTAACTCAATCAGAGTTGGCACATAATGCATTGTAGGTGTAGATCAGAAGGAGAGACTTAGGAAGTCCGTGAGGAGTCATTTCTGCAACGAATTTAGCAGTTTGTCCCTCAGCGATATGTTGTTCATAAGCGTTCACAACACTGGGAGCACTCTTTAGCAGCTCTTTTCGGTCGATCCAGAAAAAATCAGTCAACGGGTGATAGAGGAAGTGAACCTTGTACTGTCTGTTCCTCCCTCTTCCCTCGTGAGAAACGATTCGGTCTATCTCATGGCCACCGTCGATAGGGCGAGGTATCATAGGGTCTCGGAATGGAAATGTCTCATTATCAATATGTGGAAACAGTTTGGACGCATGAAAGACCGGATACGTGCGCAGATGAGGAGGCACGTCAATCATATATGAAGGACCAAAATCATCCCCAATCACCTTCAGAATCTGCCAGGGGCTATAGTACAATGGAAGGAGTTTGCGTGATATGCCCTCTTCATCAAAAAACTCAGACATTTTAACCCAAACATAATCCCCTACTTTGAATTTCTCTTCTTTGCGCATCTTGTTAGCATGTTTGATCGTGGCATGCTGGCGCTTGTTCATGGCTGCAATAACAGCTTTGAGCAAGCGTGCGTACTTGGCATTGTAGTCAGGCACGTCGGGCATCAGACCAGGTGACCGTTCAGGGAACAGATAGGAGAGGGAATTACGCATCGGCCATCCATATTGCAACTGGTTTGGTGTCACGCCAGTTGCAGAGTGGATGGAGTTGTTATACAGTCCCTTCATTTTGTGCAGCTCCTTGTCCCACGTGTTCTGATGTGGAACAATCAATGCGCGAAGTAGCTGGATGACAGTCTGGTTGATCTCCTCGGCCAAACCATTGGCTTCGGGGTGTCGACCAGAAGTCTTGTTCAGTTTAATGTCATAGATTTGAGAGGTAAAGTCCTTCTAATCTTTGCTGATGAATCTGGTGTCCCGATCACTCACAATAGTCTTCGGGACGCCAAACTGCAGAATGTACTGCTGATGGAATTCTTCGATGACAAGTTCAGTTGGGGCATGGGGAGGGAAAGGAATCAAGTTCAGAAATTTGGATAAGCGGTCCACGATGACCATGACTTGTGAATTTCCTGCCTCACTCACCTTTCCCATGTCCGTGAAGTCGATGGAAATCCACTCCCCGGGTCCATCAGGAATGGGGAGGGGTCTCAGCAGGCCATAAGGCTTATGCCTATGGACCTTGGATCTCTGACATACCTGACATTCAACAATAACTTTCTGAGCAGATCCTTTCATACTTGGCCAATCAAACTGCTGCAGAAGACTTCCATAAGTCTTCTCAAATCCAAAATGTACACTCCGACCATGTGCCAGATCCAAGAAATGCGTTCAGAGAGGCGCATGGTTGGGTACACACAAGCGATCAAACTTCCCATACCAGCGAAATACAAGATCCTCGCACTCATGAAAATCAGGCTGACTGTTAGGGTCAGCCTTGAGCTGCTCAAGGATGGGACTAAGGTCCGGATCCTTGGCAGTGTGTTCGACCAGATCCTCCTTCAGTTTCCTTCGGAGGTCGTACGAATCCACGAGGCAAGTCAAGAATTCAGGGTGGCGAGACAGCGCATCAGCAACCCGGTTATAACAACCTTTCTTGTGTTTCAATTCAAAGCTGTAGACATCAATGTCATGCAACCAGCGGGTCAATGTAGGAGAGAGTTCAGATTGTGTTTGAATCCACTGCAAGGTCTGATGATCTGAGTAGACCTTGAAGTGGCGACCCAAGAGGTAGTGCTTCCAATGTGCAAGAGCCTCGCACAGGGCATAAAGCTCATGCATATATGTGGAAGTAGCTACCTTGTGGCTGGGCATGCGTTTGCTGTAGTACTCGAGCTGACGCAGGCCATCATCATCATCTTGTTGCAGCACAGCACCAATCCCGAACTGGCTCGCATCCGTAGTGACTACAAACGTGAGGTTGGGATCGGCAATGCGAAGCACAGGATGACTCACCAATGCCTCTTTCAAGGCTTGGAACGCAGGCTCACACTTCTCACACCATGCATAGGCAACATTCTTGCTGGTTAGTCTTGAGAGAGGGTGAGCAATGACAGAGAATTTGGGCACAAACTTCCGGTAATACGAGGCCAGACCAAGAAAAGAACGCAGTTCGCGTACGTTTGCCGGTTGAGGCCAGTTTCGGATGACCTCAACCTTGGTTGCCTCCGGCTCAAGGCCGTTTGCAGACAACCGGTGTCCAAGATAGATGACGCTGTCCCTCCCAAACTCAGATTTCTCTAAGTTGAGGTGCAGCTGCTCCTCCTTGAGGACCTACAAAACTTCCTCAAGGTGCTTGAGGTGCTCTTCCATGGTTTTGCTGAAGATCAGGATATCGTCACGGTACACAACCACAAACCTGTTGAGTTGATGGCGAAATACCTTGTCCATGAGGCACTGAAAGGTGGCCAGCGCATTCGTAAGACCGAAGGGCATACCGATGAACTCGTACAGCCCATCGCGTGTTTTGAATGCAGTCTTGTGCTGGTCACTCGGATCAACTTCAATCTGGTGGTAACCAGATTTGAGGTCGATCTTGGAGAAGACCTTGCACCCACCTGCCGCACCCAGCAGATCATCTATGCGAGGCAAAGGGTAAGCATTCTTTCTTGTGATCCGATTAAGGCCACGATAGTCAATACACATCCGGAGTTTGCCTCCTTTCTTTGGCACAAACAGGACAGGTGCACCGAACTCAGACTCACTG